ACACACACACACACACACACACACACACACACACACACACACACACACACACACACACACACACACACCACGCTCTGTTTGACATGTCATGTGAATTCAGTCAGTCAGAGAATGAACAGTGACCGATCACAGCTCGCTAACACTGAGCACAATGACAGGAGGTCACACAGCAGTAACTGTCTCTGGTGTGTGTGTGTGTGTGTGTGTGTGTGTGTGTGTGTGTGTGTGTGTGTGTGTGTGTGTGTGTGTGTGTGTGAACCAGCACATATGTTACCCACAATGACAACATGTGAGTCATCAGTTTTACGTAGTCTGGTGACTTGTTTTAATAAAAACGTTGAGCTCAAAAACTACATTTTGACAACACTTTTCTCATCGTGTGACGGTGGCTTTAAAAGTGACTTTAAACCCTGATTTTAAAAAAATTGGACTGAGCCCAGCCAGGGTTGTTGTTAACACAGCAAGCGTGAATTATCAGTTTGACCCCAAGTACCAGGTTCATTTTTTGCCCCAAATTTGGGTTTGTTAAAGCTACTAAAAAAATTAAGCTAAAAGCAACCCAAATTATGTCTTATTAGATAATTATAACTTGAATCAGTATAACCTAACTGGCGCTAAAAGTGGTTAGCATCAGCTACCTAGCAACAGCTAGTGATTGCTAACTGATGGTAATAGTGGGTTAGCATCAGAAGCTAGTGATTAGCATAAGCTAGTTAACATGTGCTTCCAAGCCAATGGTACTAGTCGATAGCATCAGCTAGTTAGCACCAATTAGTGCTTGCTAGCTGGTGCTAATTGACATTGTTACAATTACTGCGCTTACGTAAAATCGAGCACCATGTACCTCAATACATTCATAGCTATTTCTGGTTTTCAAGGTTGACTTTCTACTATAGTTCTTTGGTCTTTTACACCTACTTTTCTATTGACTTTTATTTGCAATCGTAGTCATAAATTTGTTCATTGGTATTTTACGTGGTGATAGTGAAATAGCATATAAATAGCATAGCAAAATATGCTTTGTTGCTGGGTGTCAGAATGATTTTTACACTGAGCATGCACATTACGAACTGTGAAAACGTCCATACTGGTTAGCAATTTGCTTGCTAGCTGACGGTAATGGTGATTAACATTTGCTATCAAAACCCAAACTCATCGTCTGGTACAAACTAAAGTTGTTAACACAGCCAAATAAGGTTAACCATCTCATCACAAGGTGTTTCTACTGTTTTAAATTGACCAATTAAAGCAGAGGTCTAATTAGCTCTAATTAGGCCCACTATTTTGGTCAASCAAAAAGTTACAACACAGATGCTAAACTGAAGATTTTATGCTAAGATTGCTGTTCATGCTTGGCATCTCATCTGATAATGAATGAAGAGTCTGAAGTGATATGTGCGCGTGCGTGCGTGCGTGCGTGCGTGTGTGTGTGTGATGAGCTGTCAGAGAGGATCTGGTGAGAGTGGGCTAATTGGAGTTAATTCACCATCTGTCTGTGTGAGCCAGCAGACAGGGTCATTAGCAGACACAAGTCCAGCCACAGGGGAGGCCGAGAGGGACTCACCATCCCTCACCACCTTTTTAGTTTTTTTTTCCTTCCTGTCTGATCCAAAAACTTCTCTGGTCTCAAACCTCAGAAAGGTTTGAAGTCCCTTAACTAAAACATGTCTCTATTTTTGCATTGATAAAATTATTTTTTTAATTCTTTGACATTTCTTATGCATTTATAAACAACAAAATGGATAAATGTTCAGAAGGATTGATCCCTGACTATAATTGGAGCTCCTAGTTTTAGGAAATTTTGATTTTGTTTTTGTCAGAGCAGTACTGCCCTCTGCTGGCCAGAAGTCAAACCACAGTTCAAAAATCATATAGCGCTTTTTCAGCTCTGCCAACAAAAATTACAACGTCTCTACAGTTTGTAAAATTTATCTTACATTCTTTATAATGTAAAGAAATATATAAAATAAATAAACTGAAGCATCTAAGCACTTTCCTATCTTTGTCTGACTCTTATCAAGTACAACAGCTTTAGGAATGACTGCAGAACCTGATTTTTGCTTAAACTAACCTGTTATTGTCATAACATTATTGGAATCTAAATCATTACAACGTATTTTCGGCCAGAGTGTTCAAAATATCTCTTACCTAATAAAGCAGCAATATTGGATGAGATCAGTCCATCTGTTTTCAACAGGAAACACACCTTAAATGACTGCTGTAATTAAAATTTACATGAACGATATGGGCACCAGTGACCCACGCAACCCTGAAAAGGAAGAAGCGTGTACAGAAAATGGATGGATGGATGGATGGAGAAGAAACTACTCTCAAGTGAGTAAATGAGTAAGTGAAAGTGAAAGCGAAATGTTCCTCCACCTTAGGTTTTTGAACTCGGGGGTCATTAAAAGTGCTGTGAGTCCACTGAGACAAGATGGCTGGGTTTTGAGGACCACCCACACGWGGGTAAACACTCGAGTTGTCTGCAAAAAAAAAAATGGTGTTTCACACAAGGGTTAATGAGGTCTGAGAAGACTGCACATGTGCTGCAGGAGGCACCCAGAAGGTCAGTGGTGGAGACGGTGAGTGATTCAAAGGCCCAGAGCCAGACAGGAGCCCYGAAATATGCTAGGAATTGTAGATATTTATTGTTTCTGGGCCACAAGAGTGTTGCTGTGATGGGAGGCCCAGAGTTTTCTAGCTGTGAGGGTTAAAGAAAAGAATCAAACTACACAACTTTCACTACCGCTGATCAGACGCAGAACAGAAAAACTAGAAGTACATCACAGGACTGTGGAGCATTCAAGTGAGCTTTATAGTGTTTATTCTCTCACAAGTCTTTCTCATTCCAGGCTGGTAAACGACACATCTTGTTTAAGTTACAGCAATACGTCACAGACAAATCATGTGACTTATTTGGGGTTTTGGGGGGATTTTATAAAGCAAAAATACTTCACTTCCAAGGAACAGGTCAGACACATTAACGCCAAGCAGAACAATAAGCATAAGTTTTCACTTGGGGAATAATATTCTTTTTTATTTTTACAGTTTTATGTCAAAACGACATAAATGCTGATAGATTGTCTCTGCGGACAGCAAAGAAAGAACTTCATTGCTCGGTGAAAACATGTTTCCAGCAGTGCACATGACAACAAACACTGTGAATCTTCTTGAATTGTGTGGAAATCACATATTTTTGGTCAATGCAAATCTAACTTTGAGTAAATTTCTCTTTTAATGTTTAATAAACCATAATTTCGTAGCGTAGCTATGATTGTGAAAAATCTGATCAACAATTCAAATTTTTAAAGAMAACTGAAAGAAAATGTTTTGTATTTATATATATTTTAGACAATTTTGGTATTTTTGTATGCTATTTTTAGAGGATTGAAATCAAAAGCATGATGATGAACAGAAATATAAATATGAATAATAAAAATAATAAAATACCTTAATAACTTTTAACCAGAGGTTTGCTGACTCAGTCCAAGCCCTTCCAACCACACCTCAGTGACTCCATTGAAAAAGAGATGATTTTCTCAGTGGGATTTTCCTGTTTAAACAATAATCAGAAATATTATCACAATAAACCCAATATTAGTGACAATTTGTTCATGTGAATATATTGTGTGACAGTAATTTAGCAACAATTTGCAGAAACCCATATCCACCAGTTGAAAAAGAAAATACTACTGCATAGTGCATCATAATTAGGAGATACAAAATAAAGACTTTCAAAGTCAATGTGGTGACTTAAGTTAAAATAGATAAATAAGTATAACTCACATATCATAGCTTTAAATTTCACAGTTGACTTTTTTAAATCACAGATAATATTTCATAATATATTAATCTTAGTATTTCAAATTATAACTGTGGCGTACCATGTGACCATTTTTCTTCTTAGTGGCATTATTTAGCTTCCATACATGTAGCCCCTGTAAAATAAAGTAGATCAAAAATCCAAGTGTATTATTATTATTATTATTAACCTTACACCTACAAATATGGTAAGACTTTAAGCCTATTAGGATTTTTAAGTATTTCATAACTGCACTAAACTAATGTTCTATATAATTGTACAAGAAAACCCAGAATTTAATAAATAAATATAAAACTTCCACTAGGAGGAGCCGCTCGGAGCTGARTTCGCTTTGCTACACACAGTCGGCGTTTTCGCTTTTGGAAACCGGGAAACTCCGACGCTTCATGAAGCTRTAAAATATAAAGAAATGGTTAAAATAGCCTTGCGGATATGAATATGGGACGTTCTAGATACGCTTGAGATGATCAGGCGTGAAAAACGTACGTTGTTCTGGACGAGGAGGTTCGTCGGATTTGAAGCTCTTAACTTTTGACAGCGAGCTAACGCTAAGCTAAGCTAAGGCTAGCCGGATAAATGCTAACGCTAAGCTAAGGCTAGCCGGATAAATTAAATATTACCTTTTTGAAGAGTTACTCGTGTGGCGACCAAAGAGCTGACATTATTTTTGTTATTTTGTGTTTAATGTAATAGTGTGCCTTGCCGCAATGAGGAGGTAAATGTATTTTTGCTACGTTTACACCCCCCGGCTAATTTGCTACGGCTAGCTTGCTCGTATGCTAGTTAACGTTACCGGGTCAGACGGCAACTTCAGTAGCAGAGTTTCGGGGAGCTAGAGACTCTGCCGTCGCTCCTCTGCTGCCAAAAGAAGCCACTCCGCCATCATGTTTCAAATGGAAACGCACGTATCGTGCCTTTTCCCTGAAATCCTGGCCATCATTTTCAGCTACTTGGACGTTAAAGACAAAGGAAGAGTRGCCCAAGTGTGCGCGGCCTGGAGGGACGCGTCCTACCACAAATCGGTGTGGAGGGGGGTTGAAGCCAAGCTCCATCTGCGGCGAGCCAACCCGTCTCTGTTCCCCAGTCTGCAAACCAGAGGGATCAAAAAAGTCCAGATACTCAGCCTGAGACGAAGTCTGAGCTACGTGATCCAAGGGATGCCGCACATTGAAAGCCTGAACCTGTGCGGCTGCTTCAACCTCACCGACAATGGACTGGGACATGCCTTTGTGCAGGACATCCCGTCCCTGCGGGTCCTCAACCTCAGCCTGTGCAAGCAGATCACGGACTCCAGCCTGGGCCGGATCGCCCAGTACCTGAAGAACCTGGAGGTGCTCGAGCTCGGCGGGTGCAGCAACATCACGAACACGGGCCTGTTGCTGGTGGCGTGGGGCTTGCACCGACTCAGGAGCCTCAACCTGCGCAGCTGCAGGCACGTGTCGGACGTGGGCATCGGTCACCTGTCCGGGATGACCCGCAGCGCCGCGGAGGGCTGCCTGTCTCTGGAGAAACTGACCCTGCAGGACTGCCAGAAGCTGACAGACCTCTCCCTCAAGCACGTGTCGAAGGGCCTGGGCAAGCTCAAAGTGCTCAACCTCAGCTTCTGTGGGGGGATTTCAGATGCAGGGATGATCCACYTGTCACAGATGAGCCAGCTGTGCAGCCTGAACCTGCGCTCCTGTGACAACATCAGTGACACGGGGATAATGCACCTGGCTATGGGCTCCCTCCGCCTGTCTGGACTTGACGTGTCCTTCTGTGACAAGATAGGAGACCAGAGCCTGGCTTACATCGCCCAGGGGCTGTATCAGCTCAAATCTCTGTCTCTGTGCTCCTGTCACATCAGCGACGATGGCATCAACAGGATGGTGCGCCAGATGCACGAGCTCAAGACTCTGAACATCGGACAGTGTGTTCGAATCACRGACAAAGGCTTGGAGTTGATCGCTGACCACTTGACCCAGCTGACGGGGATCGACCTGTACGGCTGCACTAAGATCACAAAGAGGGGTCTGGAGAGGATAACGCAGCTCCCGTGCCTTAAAGTTTTAAACCTCGGACTCTGGCAAATGACTGAGAGTGAAAAAGTGAGGTGACAGTTTCTCACCAACACACCTCATTGTGTATAGCTCTCTGTTGTGTATTATGAAGGACTGCCTGTGTCCGTTTTTAGTTTTAGCATCCGTACAGGAACTAAAACCAAGGAGGGACACACTCTGCAGCAATACTTCACTTTTAATCTGTATTTCAGTCTCGTTAAATCCCAGCTACCTCACTCATTGTTCAGAGTGCCTACTTTTGTTGAATACTGTATTAAACTGTATATTTTTGTGACCCGTACCAGTATAGATATGTGTTTACATTCAGAACACAAAGGCAGAAGTTTGTTTAGAAGTTTAGATTCTTTTCGTTTTGTGTTGAACGACTGTTGCTGACAAAATTGTACTTCAAATTGAAGTGAGTCACCCCCGTCTGTGTTTACACGTGTACAGATTTTAAGAAAACATCTTAAGTGATTAATATATCAGGTTCATCAACACAGCTACAGTACCAATATGCAATACCGAAAATTGATCAGGATTTTTTTCTCTTCTGAGGAGCTTTCATTGATATTTGCAGGACGTTTTTGTACAAGAAAGCAGTAATTTAAGATGTTTTATATTCATACAATAGTGATATTTATGAATAAAGATTATAAATGTTTCAAAYTTGTCACTTTAATTTGGATCAATGTGTTTTCTGGTATTCACAGATGTGTTTGGTTAAAAAAAACGAAGCCTTCACAAGAAAACAAGGCTTTTAATTTATTTATTTACATACATAGAAAATTCAAATGACCGACACTTTGTTTTGCTTTCTTTTTTTAAACAGTTTGATTCTTGACAAGAACAGACAGACGGCAGTACTTTTTTTTTTTTTAAATACAAACTTAAAAGAGCAGAAACGTACAATAAAGTCGACTGAGGCCCTTTTAGTCAGCTGTGTGCTCCCCAATAAAGAGTCGAGGAAAAAGAAGAGACGTTAAGGCAGGGGACGGGACACAGGCTGAAGTAAAGGGGAATAAAACACTTATGATTTTTATTTTTTTATTCTGAGGCCAGCTGTGAGGAGTGAATTGCCTCCGGCTCTGCCTGACAGAAAAGCACAACAACCAGCTGTGTCTTTGGTTCTTAATCTGACACCCTTTAAATGTATCTTAATGTGAAATAAATGGTATTTTTAGAGCTATACTAAAATCCATTTTATCTTACAACAAGAGGGTCATGATAGTTAGACTTTATATCCATCAAAAGAAAAAAAAATCACTCAAGAAACAAACCTGGGAATCTCAGGATAACGTCACCATTCCATATAAATATTAAAAACAAGACTACCAGAAATAAAAGCAACAAAGTACTCCTCCGTCACACAGTCACCGTTTGAAACATCTGTAATTTTACATWTTTTGACACATTTTTAATTTATTTTTCCCCATCTGTTTAGAACACTCGTACGGTTCAGAGCAACTCGCTCTTAAGAGATTCTGTGCAAACATTCGATGCATATTGATACAGTAAAACTTTTTCAATAGTATATCATATTTATCTATTTATATATCTCCATAGAACATAGACTTTCTGCGAGTTTTGACAGTACTGTCACGCACACACATTTTGTCCAAAGACAAAATTAGACACAAAAGACGACTGCACTGTGTTGAACTTATCAGTTTTTTTTGTTTTTAAGAATGCACATCACCTTCCACATAATCACCTTTAATCAATTACTGTACGTGTTAAATATGTTATTTACAAAGTCAAAACCTGCCAAAAAGTGACTTTCATTTTCTGTAAATGTCAATGCACTTGGTAATTAAAAACGCAAGCCCTGAATATTAAAAAAATAAAATAACAGAGGCGTCTGAAAATACAGAACAGAAGGAGTGTGTTTTTTTTTTTTTGATTTAGTAAATAAAAACAAAACAAAAACAATGTGGGCTTTAAGTAACTCTTATAGAAACTTTGGATGAGGATCAGTTAAATTCTTACATCATGCCATAGCACCAGGATTCCAGAGAAATAAAGATCCCTGCGTTAGGTCCAGTACTGATCTCTGTGCATGCTCCAAGGCCACGAGAACGTTCTCAAAAGAAACATTGCATACATCTTAAACAAGTGGATGTTGTGTGCAAAACCATTTGGAAATAATACCATTAAAAACTATAAATCCTCTCACTTATTGAGAAAATAACTCAAATCTGATCTTCGATCAAAGGTTGAACCTCGATCCCCCCTCCAATACCATCGACCCAGTCACGTACCTACAGCCCAGTTAGAGTGTTGCACTCATTTGGGTTAAAAGTGGCGTTTAGATGGTGTTACTAGTGATGCTCCTTCCTGCTCCCTTTAGATGTAGCAGCTCCCCAAAACTATCAAGACAAGAAGTGCTTTTCTGTCCCATGAACAGAACAAATGTACCAATTTTAACCTGAAAGKCAATTTCTAATCTAAATGAGGCTTTGTCTTTAATTTATCTGTGAGAATAAGTTGYGTCTGCGAGACCAAAAAGCACTCGTGGTCCTGAAAAGTTTGTTGCAGGGTGTGTAAGGACGCAGAGAAGGAGGAGTCAAACCRGATGAAATGAAAATTAAAAAAATAAGAAATGCCCCAGCAGTTTCTCCTASAGAAGGGAGGTAAAGGTTTCTGGGCTCAGCCTGGGTTATTGGTCAGCATGACTCCTCCAGGGCGTTGACGACCTGTTCCAGGATATCTGGGCAGTAGTCTGCAATCTGCTGGAGAACCGAGTTGGCGTACTCCTGCAGCTCCCCGCTCTCCTTCTCACACACCTCCAGCTCCCGCTCCAACTGCAAGCAAAGGAMACAAACAAAAAGAAGAATTAGTACCGTTTAGGATGAAATCCAGTTTATTTTATCGTTATTAAAAGGCAGTAATTTACACATCTAATCACATATTTTGGGCTCATCTCTTAAAACTGTTAAAGTTTGTATGGTTTCCTTACTGTTCTACCAAACCGTATATTTCAAATTAAAAGCCTTGATTAGTTGCCATAATTTATCAAGTTTAATTGATCTTGGCAGGTACTAATGCACAGATGTCTCCAGATCAGTTTTTTTTTGTTGGCAAATTTATTTATTTTTTAAATCAGAAACGTATTTATTTTTCATTGAAATTTAAAATAAATGCTGTTTTAATAAAAGGCCTCGCATTCTTTAAAAGGAATTCACACCACCCGCCCTTCAAGCCAGAGTTTTAGACGAAAATTAAGCTCCGTTGTGAAATCAAAGTTGATTAAAGTTGCAGTCCTTCTGGTAAAACTTAAATAAAAAATAAATAACATTTTTTGCCATCTCATRAGATGTTTAGTCTGGTTCACCATGATAGAATTTTACTTTCCCACGGATAATTTTGGGGAGCATAAAAATGTTGCAGAACCCCCTTTAAGTAGAAGTTCAGCTTTCAAAATAAAAGCTTTAATTTATTTGCAAGTCAAAGCACTGATAAAAACTGTTTTTTGCAGGCAGTCGTTTAGCAAAATCCAAGATGGTGGTTATACATTATGTGACATAACGACTATGTTTTTCAATCAGACTAAATTCCACGGTCAACCTGACTAGCAGGAAGGCGTCCCGCTCTGAGTCCATCAGTAGTTTGCTGGTTACCTGTTGGACGCTCATTTTCTGAAGCTCCTCCTCCCAGTCTTCGGGGTCGCTGTGGTGGTAATGAGACGGTGGCGTGAGCTGGCTGAGGATGCCGGGGTCTCGGTTGTGGCAGAGGTCTGTCAGGTGGGCGATGTAGAGTTTGAGTTTGCTGCGGTTCTGGGACAAGGCTAGAAGAGGGGGTATCATCTGTAGAGTCGGGAGAGATGGGGAGGATGCAGGAAAAAAAAAACATTTTCTTCAGATTATAATCTTAAAAAGAGTGTGGAAGAGCTTTGGTCCAGTTAGACTGAACAGAATGGAAAAAAAACACCACCAACATTTACATGCATTTATCTTCTTAAAGATTTGCAGATAAATCATTTACATTTTTACAGTTCTGTAACAGTATAATCAATAACTGAAGTTAAGGATTCATGTGAAAGCAGCAGCATGCAAAAATAAGATGCTTCAGGTTTCAGGTGATCAAACTCTTGGTTTTACATGCAAACAAAGATTACAAACAAGATCAAACCCACAAATAAACAATACGCAACGACATGAAAGAAACCACGGATGAATGGAGAATAATAAAACATGCCAGTGATGGACRTGATAGGCTTGGAGGTTTTAGTGTTTGTTTTTTTAAAGACGAGCTCACCCTTCTGAACAAAATRTCTGAGAGAGAGGGGGAGGGCAGAGGGCCGGCTACGCCCAAATACCCTCCTCATCATCCTGTTAGCAAGACGCAGCGTTAGGAAGGAAACTCTGGTTAGTGGAAAACGTTCACATCCCTTTGATAGCTTGTTTCTTTCTTTTACAGAAATGTTAGAAAAGCACTTTGAAGTGGCAAAAAAAATCATGTCAATCAAGCAGACTGTGTGTGTGCGGGTGAGTGACGCACCTGATCTGGAGAGGGTTTGTGATTCGTCTGGCYGGGCGCCGTCCTCAGGTGGTCGTCTTCATAGTTGTCGGCCATCAGCTTCATCCTGTTCTGAGTCTGAAAAGTCAAAACAGCTGGAAGTTTAGAGTAAAGAAGGGACACCTGGCGCAGCCAAAAAAACAGAATTATAAAAAAAATTTAAGAAAAAAAAACAAAGTGTCAAATCAGTTGTAGACRTCTCCTCCCCACCTGCTGCTTGAGCTGCTGCACCAGTCGGTCCTTCTCCCTCTTCAGCTGAGCCACCTCTTCCTGGGTCTTCTTCTTCTTCGAGGAGGACAGCTCCAGCAGGGCAATGTTAGCGTCCTTCTCGCTGATGGCGGCCAGAAGAGCCTCCTGCCTGTTCGTTTGAGATGAAACGTTTAAACCGCTCGAGTATCATTTATTATTGATGGCGCGACACCAGCGTGCCAGCTGGGGAACGCCAGAATTGGATGACATTTTACGAGATTAAGGGAGCGATCGATAATCTGAGGTCGATGCTGCCCTGCTGTGTGTGTGTGTGTGTGTGTGTGTGTGTGTGTGAGTCTTACTTCATCTCCAGCACCTCCTCCAGGTGTTTCCTGCGCTCAGCTCTCAGAGTTGTAAGGTGGGCTTCTTTCTCACACAGAGACTGCTGGGTAGACGCCAGCTTGGCCCTCATGGACTCCAGCTCCTGCTTCACCTTCTCCATGGCGCCCAGCAGCTCCTCCATCTGGGAACACAAACACACACACATAAACAAACCATTCAGTAGTAAATAAAAGCCAAGCACATACAAATCCATCAGTGAAAGTGTCAGGCCTATTTTTTAAATTTTTTATTCAAATGACACTTTCACTGACCTGTAAAGGTGATCTGCACGAATGAAAGGGAAGGGCAGCTGAATAAATAGTTTTAATCACCTGCTATTTACTTAGAAATGCACCAGAGTACAAGCAGCAGTACTTTATAGTCTGGAACCTCTCGTTTTACTTTACTGAACAGAGCTTCAACCAATTAAAAACAGAAAAAAACAAATGAATCAAAACGTGACGCAGAGCTGAGCTACAAAAACCTAAACTGATCTTTTAATTAGCCAGGATTACAGATTAAAAGACTGCTAATTAAGTGAGTACAGACTGGATAAACAGTTGTGTGAACAGGAAAGGTGCCAGACTGCAAATGAAGAACAAGCTTCTACTCTTACAGCTTGCTTCATGTGTTTTAACCACAAATGTTTCATTCCTAACTAATTGGCGTAGGAGATTATTTCACAAGCAAACAGCAGGTAAGGGTCGACCAGTGACAACTACTTGGGCTGGAAACAACACAAACACTTTACAAAAACATGCAGTCTGAACATCCATCTCACAGCCCCACTACATACAGAAACAAACATTTAAACTGTAGGACTGTTGCATGGTTTGTACAAGTGTTGCCTCTACTGTGTCCGCCCGCTGAAAGCGTTGCAGGTTCTCTGAAGGGGTTCATACATACTGGACTCATACCTTAGACCACTTAAGGTGGGAGAGGTTGGACTCATGCATTGGTTTGAATGAGTGCTTCTGAAAGGCGGTGGTGTAGCAGAGAGAAGACAAGAGAAAACAACAAGCAGAGATAAAGAAACTGAGAGAGAGAGGGGGGAAAAACAAACTAAATCAAAAGAAAATGACCAGGAAACAAAAAGAGGCAGGACACAAAGAATGAGCAACACCACAACGGCAGCCGGAGAGTGATAGAGAGAATTTTAATGGCTGTGTACAGAAACGTGTGTGTGTGTGTGTGTTTACCTGTTTCTCCTGCAGTGAGCGAGCTGCCTCCTCTTGTGCCAGCACCATCTCTCGTTCAGCAGTGATCTGAACGCTCTCCCTCAGAGCCTCCTCCAGCTCCTCGATGCGCTCGGACTTCTGACGCAGAGTGTCCTTCACAACAGCACAAACTTCTTCCGTTAGGCTAGATTTACTCGGCAGCTTAAAGTGGCCCAAATGCGACTCGTCAGGTTATTTTAATGACAGTAAATAAAAACGTTATAAGCTGGGATAGGAGCATTAGGACCTGCAGCGTGAATAGTTCCAGAAGGCCTCACCTTGACCTGCTGTGACGACTCGGACATGTTGTCCTCCCTCTTCCTGGCCTCCTCCATCAGCCGAGCRTTGCGGCTCTTCTCCACCTGCTCCTTGTGCTTCAGTGACGCCACCTTTTTCGTCTGGTCCTTCATCTGCCTGCAGGTGCACCGTTTAAAGTCATTACATACTTCTGCTTCGACTTAGACGCACAATGTGAGAGTAATTTCCTTTTTCATTTGAAGCTACGGACAGGGCTAATAAACGCAAGGAAACGTTTTGTGATTCCTCATGTAGTTAAGAGTCTGGATCACAGTTTTGAGTCTGATCCAATGACCCTTTGAAACTCTGGTTACAGCCTGCAGCCTTACAGCCAGGCAGGAATTTACACAAATGATTGACTCCATACATTCTCAGATTTCACTCAGTGAAAAAAACGGGAAAAGCAAAAGTAAACGTCTGAAGTGCAGCCAACATACTGAAGAAGCCAAAAAGGCAAAAAGAGAAAAGAGAGAAGAAGAAGAGGGAGGGGAAAAGGCATTTTCAGGCGAACAGAAAAGAACAAATACTCACCTGGAGGCCAAGCTGGTGAGGTGAGAAATTTCCAGCGCAAAGACGGGAAAGCAGTAAAGAGAAAAGGAAACTCTGGCTCAGAATGTTTTAGGATGTGAGCAAGTAAAAAGAAAGAGGGAGAAGGCTCGCCCACTTTTCTCTTTACATGAAGAAACTACACATTCACAGCATCGATCTGTTCATGGAGCATTCAGACATTCATAGTCTAAAATAAGTTTTAAGTATCATGTAAAAGCTGAGTTCAGCAAGAAGAATTACTAAAAAAATCTGAACTTCAAACTCCACATCAGACAAGAAAAACCCTATATTTATGTTGACGTTTTCTGCCCGTTGTTGGATCTTTGCGTTATGAAACCCAGATGCCGAAGAGTTTTAAGATTTGAATATAAAAAGGTTTCATGCGTTCAAAACTGCTTTATTTTACCAAATAAACGAGGGTCAGTTTATTAAAAACAAACAGAACTATGAGTGATCTACAGAGGGAAGGACTGAGCAGAGCTGAGACATGGAGGCGTGAAACGACTGTGTGAAAATAACAAGTGTTTTACTGAAATAGTTGCATAACTTAGATGATTTTTAAAGATTCAAAACCAGAACTGTAACTTGTACAAATGTTATTGAGTCAAAACAATTACAATCATTTCTGCCACAAATACAAGATGTTCTTATAAGTGTACGGTTTCACTGTTAATAAAAACACATTGCTTTTGAAAAATGTTAGATATTCCTTCTTCTAAAGATAAATAAATCTTGACGATTTCAGACCCATAATTCTGTTTTTATGCACAACGAGCGTCCGTGCTAAAACCCACCTTTCAAGCTCATTTATCTTTTTGTCCTTGTCGTTCTTCTCATTCTCCATTTCTCGAAGTATCTCAAGGAGGCGGTCCACCTCAGCCTGGGCCTTCCCAGAATCCTCCTTGTGACGGGCCACCTCTTGCTCCAGATGCCTGATGCGTTCGGCCAGCTCTGTGTTGGCCTGAGCTTCCAGTGCTGCATTTTGAGCCTGACGAGCAACAAAACYGTTAGAAATCACTTCGAGGTTAGCAGGCATAAATATAACATTTATATGACTTTTTTTGCTCTTAAATCTCACTCTCTTTAGCTGGTTCTCCAGTTTTAGGCACTCTTCCCTCCTTTGCTCTAGGACGATCTCCAGACTCTTGAGTTTGGCATCTTTTTTCAGCCCTGAAGAGGCCAGGGACGAGGCGTGCTCCTTCAGATCTAACAGAGACGTCTGCATGCCAAAACGAGATGTTACAGCTAGTCAAACAAACAAAACATTAAAGTTAGAACCAGAAAATAAGACGTTTCTGCATCTTTGTCACCTCTCTGTCTGACAGGTCTCCCTGCAGGAAGCTGAGCTTCTCCTTCAACTCCTTCAGCTCCTTCTTTGAACAGTCGAGCTCCTCCGTCTTCTCCCTGTCGTCTCGATCTCGCTGCTCCTTTAGACGCTCGATGATGCGCTCCTTCAAAAAAAAAAAAAAAAAAAAACAGTTACAGAAGATGTTTATACTCATAACCAAACTGTCCAATGTGCCACAAAACAAACAGAAAACCAACTTGGTGTGAACTCTCACTTACGCAGACATAACTTTACCTTTTCTGAAAGCGACTCCTCCAGCGTTGTGAGGGCGGTGTCTGTGTTGGAAGTGTCGGCCTGCAGAGATTTCACTCTCTCCTTTAAGCTGCTCATCTGCTTCTCTTTATCCCGAAGTTGTTCCTGCAGGTTCTCAATCTGCAGATTAAAAGACAAAAAAAAAAAACTTTGGTTAAAATGATCCTCAACCACACGACACGGGGATAAAGACTAAACAGTTCACTTTACCTTTTTCTGGAGCACATTAATTTTGCGCTCCTTAACTTCCAGCATATCCTTCAGGTCGTGAATTTCCCCGTTGAGGGTTCCCTTCTCCTCCGACATTTCCTGGATCTGCTTGCTCTTCTTATTCAGCGTCGCCTCTTTCTCTTCCAAACGCAGACGTAAGGCATCGACCTGGGAAAAAAAAAACAGGCGAAAAAATTACAATAACAAAAATGTGTATTTTGCCACACAAATGAGGACTTTTTAAAACAAAACCAAGCAAAAACTGTATTCTTTTGGTTAACTGGAAAGCCTTCGCTTGCTGTACCTCTGTCTGTAAGATGGCAGCACGCTGCTCCTTGGCAGTGAGCGATTCCTTCAGGACTTCAATATGCTGCTTGCTGTCTGAGAACTGGTTCGTTAACGTCTCCAGTTTAGTCTGCAAACCGAGCAGCTCYGTATCCTTCCTGGAGAGGTCTTGTTTCACCTGTTCCATCTGAGAAACATGACAAGAAATGACTCTGAGTGATGCTTAACTCATTATAATGCCTGAATGAAGCCTTCCCGTGGGGTCTCTGACCTTGTTTTTCATGAACTTGGTGTGGCTGCGGTACACCTCCATCTGCTTCATCTCCTCCTGACGCTCCTCACAGCTCAGAAGTCCGTTGGACTTCATCAGCAGCAGCTCCTCCTCCATGTCCCTCATGTTGCGCTCCATAGAGTTGATTTTTGCATCCTGGGGTAAGAAGATAAGTCAACGTTTACTTCATGGTGTCATAAAAGACAAAACACACACACACACACACACACACACACACGTAAATCCTCACCTTCATGTCTATAACAGTCTGTAAAGCCTTTGTTTTGGTGGATTCAGGAGTTCCTTCGTATCGACGATGAAGCTCCTGTTGAACCAGACATTGAACAAATGGTTGGTGTGTCTACACAACACTTTAATATCAGCCAGGAATAGTGAAAACACATAATCTCTATATTAGAACAGCTGGTCATTACCTCTCTGAGCGCAGTGATCTGTCGGTCTCTCTGGTCCAGTAAACTCTCCAGGTGATGTCTGTGCATTTCAGCATCGGCCAGCCTCCTGGTCCTCTCCTGGTCCTCCTCTGATGCTTTGGCAGACGGCCCTACATCAACGACACGCACTTTATTAACGCGTAGATAATAAAAACAAAAGATTCGATCTCATTTGCTTCACGCCTGCCTTTGCTCTGCAGCATCTCCAGGAGCTTTTTGATGGACTCGTCTCTGGCGACCAGAGTTTGCTTCTGCGTGTCGATCCTCAGCTCCATCTCCTCCAGCGTCTTCCTCAGCAGGAACAGCTCCTTGACCTGCCGTTCGTACTCGGCCTGCAGCCGCCGGTGGTTCTCCTCCGTGGGCTCAGACGTCAGGGCGAGATCCCTCCCTTGGCTGGAGGGGTCTTGCTGGAGCAGCTGGTTCAGGTCCCTCTGGATCCTCAGCTCGTCTTGAAGAGCCTGAACGGTCATCTGCAGATGCTACGGAGACACGCGGGACACTTTCACTGCATCTGATCTCTGTTTACATGGGAAGCATTTACACAGGGGGGTACGGGAGGTAAAATGTATCGATTGCTTGAATGAACAGTTCCTGGGAGAATATCGCTTCACAGCCTGTTAATAAAAATCCTCTTCTAATCATAAATTGAAATTAAGCAACGTCCTGACTGATGTAGCCACAGCGGGCAAGCATCGTGGACAGTGTTACGTTTCATGCCCCGAGAAATACAAGTGGTGAAACACAATCAACCCAGTATAGTGTTGCATTGTTTGTGGCATCTGACGCGCAGAGCTGCTTGTGAGGCAGCAACAGAAGGCTGTGTTACACTGGTCTGAACCAGCTGGGAGCGTTTTCAAAAAGAAGGAACAAAGAGTCAGTGTCTTGCCTTCGTTTCTCCCTCCTTGTTAATCTCTTTTTCCCCTTATCGGGGCGCACACACACTCGCCATCTATCCACCTTCCTCGCTCCCGTCCCATCTCCTCCTTCCAATACTCTCGCCTCTTCTCTCACCAACCATCCTTTTCTATCACCCTTTCCACCCCGTGACTAAGGCTGACTCACTGCTGCGGCCGCACCGCCACACTCCTCCTCCTCCTCCTCCTCCTCTCCAGTACAGCTACAGGCAGAAACACGACCAGAAACACACATTCATCTTCTCGCCCTCACTGCAGGAGGAGAGACCACAGCCAGGTGCCTGAGAAAACACAACCTGTGGAGGAGACGACGCACTGACGAAGCTGGTCTCAAACACAAAGAAACATTTTGTATTATCTTTATCTGTGTGACCGAGACAACGATCAGATTTAATCACCCACCTCTGAAAGGCGAGGGATAAAGTTTGTGTTCATGTGTTACAACATCAAGAACTGGATGAATTTTAATGAAAATGAAGCGATCATTGAAAGAACAAATATGGTAATTGATGCTATTATCTATGTTATTGTTTTGTTTAAAGAAGTTGTCAATTACTACTGCATTATGGTTTATTGATGTAAAAAAAATGTGTTAAAAATAATGGATGCTTGCTCTTAATGGGATGCAAATACAAGTTACACATGGATATAGTATATATGTAAAAAGAATGTTTTAGCCAAGTTATTATGAATCGTAATTAAGGATGATTCTATAGATGTAAGAGGGGTGGGTGTAAAAAATAAGTTTACAGTTCTACCCACTCCTTTGAACGTGTAAATATAATTCACTTTTGTTCTTCTTTTGTTTGCTTTTTGTTTTAAATGTATTTTATTTTGTGTGTAACTTTGTTTATTTCTTTTAATACACTGTGTTCAGTAAAGTCAAAGTCAAGTCAAGCACCTACAACTGGTTCACTTTTGAAGTCAACCCAATTCAAGATGGCTGCCACAGACAACGGATCTTAAAAAACACAATATCAGATTTAACTCAGTCAGTTTTACAGATACAGAGCWAAAACTTAATTTTCTAGCTGATGATAGTTGTTCACAACACATTCTCTGAACTTTGAGCACCGTCATCACAGTGTTCTCTGTGATGACTTTGAGTGATACTTTAATCAATATAATGCCTGAATGAACATAAGTCATTGTTACAAATTTATTTGTTTTTTTTTTTTTTGATGGGTTGCTTCTATTGCTGGAAGTGAGTGGGTTCGTATCAAAGATCTTTCATTTTGTTGTGAAACTTCTGGGACAATAACGGCAACATTTTTTCCGTGAATTCTTGAGCTGTWGAAGACGATGATGAGGATCTTCATGAAAACAAGAGAGATTAGCAAATTCGCCGAGAACTGGAGGAAAAGAGGTAAAATACAGTTCACATGAATTTATTGTCAATGTAATTTAACAAACCCTTTAGGTCAGAGGTGCCCAAAGTGGGGCCCGCAGGCCAAAACTGGCCCACCAAGCCATTAGATTTGGCCCACCAGCAGCTGTCCTGGTTACTAGATTGTATTATGTTAAGAATAAATATAAAATATAAGTAACTACAAGAGACATTTAGATTAGATTTAAGCCCATATATAGATTTGCACACCCTATATGACCCCATATACTCAGATTTTAAATTATGAAAAGTCTCATGAACCTTTGCTGCCTGAGCATACGTTGAATTTTTTTCCATGTCCATGGGCTTAAAAAAAAAAAGAATGTGGGCAACCACACTGGCTTCTAGCTTAATCATAAAAAATAAAACAACTTTACTTAAAAAGTATTTGCATTTCTTTTATTATTATTGCATTTGGACCTTGTGCATGATGTACTCAGGTCCCAGGACCATAAAAAATAACAACTCTCAAACAAAGACAGACAAAAACATACTTTGTAACATGAACAAGAGGTAAGATGGCAGCATCCTGTATTTTTTCATGTCGCATTTGCAATATATGTTGCAGGGCTAGAAAATAAATTGCAATGCAAGTTTTATTTTACAAGTTGTGCAACCTTACTCTGAATGCAATTTCTCACAATACCTAATGAGATTGTGGATAATGTTATTTTATGGGCTGATCGTAACAACCCTCATTTTTCAACAGAAAATGAACTTAATCTTTGGTTCGAAAGGCCAGTTTGCACTAATATTCCATGGGAAAAGAGCAGTCAGCACCACCCTGTTGTAGGAATCTAAATCACACACATGTAAAACGCACAATTAGAAACACGCACATTCAGTCGGGCCTCCATCCAATGACAGCATCCAGTGAAAACTGAAGGCCATAATCAGCCTTTAAAAGAGAGAGAGAGAGTGTGTCCACACTTTCTGCTGCGTGCATGTCGGAGCAGGAGGTGGAGGCAGACGTATGAAAGCAGACATCTTTAAATTAAAGCACCCGTTGATTAGCCCTGCGCTGGTCGGGCAAAACTGGGAATTAGTCTACAGCGCGAGTCTGTGAGTCAGCAGGGGTGAAGGCAGCAAATTATAYGGGAGGTCCGCCCATCCATTAAGTATCGTAGTTAAACAAAGACAGTTTGTCTTCATTAATGAAACCTAATTTGCGCGTGAGCTACAACATTGTGTAAGGTTTTTTTTTAAGCCTTAACTGTTTTAATCAAGTTACCATTATTAAATACTTTAATACGGCTGCAATAAAACTGAGCTAAGTTTGTGCTGATATACCTCACAGAYGCAAACAAAAGCAACAACCAGAACAGGCACAGAATAAGATGCATAAAAATTTAGTACCTGAATAAAAACGGCAAACTAAAGTGATCGATCTAAGCYGACAGTCAGAACTGCTCATGTAGCTGGGTTGATTTGAGTTTTTTTTTTAAATCTACTTATACATAAAAACCTGCCCTAACTCTGCATTTCTATTCTGCTCACCCCTCCCAGCATTTTCTGAAACATACAAAATTGCAAATGCAGCCATTAGACTTTACATTCCTTTCATCTACRAAGCCTGAGCATATAGCTGCATATAAGAGGATTAACAAGATGTTCAAAATCTAACCCCAACCTATCCTGGGAGAGAAGAATRAGAGAGAAACACACTCGTACTAAAGCTGACACACTGAGTAAAATGTGTGTGCTTTTTTTTTTCTGTCTGGCACATCCAGCTGGGTGACTTTATTCAAAGAGAGAAATGTGAGCTGATGGGGATGAAAAACCGAAATCATGGTTCTCCATTTAAAAAAAAAACATAAAGAAACACGCACCTGTGCTTCGTCTTGAATAACACGGTACTGCTCCTTCCAAACGGCGATCTTGGAAGCCTCGTCTTTCCTGAGAGCACGCTCCTTTTTTAACTCTGGGCTCCAGAAGGTTTTAATAGAATTCATGGAGGAGCTCAGTTTGCTTTCCTTGACTTCCACTTCGCGCCGCAGCATTTCGTTCTCCCTCAGAACCTGAAAGAACGGGGCGAACGTTTAGCACTTTAATTGCATAGACAGTGAAAAGGTCAAGATCTCCACGTTGTTGTTAGCAAAATACCTCTTTGAGTTGGGCCTGCAGGTCAAGTATGGTGTTGTCTCTGGCCTGCCTTAGAGAATGGGGGACCGTGGACGCCATGTGGTGGTCCCCAAAAGCTAGGGCGTCCCCCGCCATCATGCCTGCTGGCAGCACTGCGTTAGCAGGCACGGTGGTGGAGATATTTGGAGTGCTAGCTGCTACAACTCCACCRCTGCTTCTAGACCCGTAAGTCACCCTCTGCCTCCCTGTGGCGGTCACCGTAACGCCGCTTTTAGGGATGTGGTCACCCGCCACGGCGACCTCATTATCACTCAGGTACATCGGTCCGGAGGTGGCGTACGCGGCGTTGAGGGACTGGATGTTCTCCATGGACAAGGTTTTGCCTCCGGCTCCGCCGGGTCCTCCTCCGCTGCCGCCAGTGCTGTTGGTGCGCCGGTGTCCCATCCGAGGGGAGCGGGGCAGGCGGGGCGAACGACCCGACCCCTGATTGCTGACGCCACTTCCATCTCTTCCTCCGCTGTGGTTGGCGTCCCCTCTGCCAACGGAGCGAGCGCTACCGTACATCTTCTGCTCCGCAGAAAACCGGAGCCGCCAGCAGAACTGCGGAACCACCTCAAGCACACGGCGGTATTTCCTTTCAGATTTTGTGCTTCGGCCTCCTAACAGCTGGATGGACTCGTGACGATCCTGCTTTCAACTGATGACGAAGAAAAAAACATTCACGGCACGATCAAATTTGTTGTTTTTTCTCCTTTAAGAGCCGATGACGTGAACACACTTTTCCAGGATAAATATTAACCCCAACCTGCAAAACAAAACAAAACAAAAAACAAAACAGGAATAAAAGGCATTCCTCGTAATATAATTAAATCTCAGAATATATGTAAATTTGAAACAGCAGAATGAAAACTCAACATAAGACTGAAGAACTGGGAGTAGGTTACACAGAGTTAGCTGAATCCCCTCCAGCAGCGCAGACAGTTATGTAACTAAAGTCCTGTCTTACATTTGAGCTACTTTACACTTCCAGTCCACACAGATGGATCATAGCTTCAAGTTAATTACTTTTATCTAACTGTCACATTAAGGAAACTTAGAAAATTCATATAAAAAAGTGTTAACATAATAACTGCAATCTGTGATTAATCTATTAACATGTTACAACGGGTAGCCACAGATAAAGATTATTGCTGTGATTTCTATTTTGGGGTGGATCGATAAATTGGCGCCGATTTACTTAAGTGCATTAAGTGCAAGTGTATTTGCAATTTTGGAATTGTTGCACACATTTTATATCCAATTTTTTAAAATCATTTTTGAGTACATTTGTTTGTTTTTCTTTCTCCTGTATTTCTGGATAGACAAGGACCTTGGGTACGAAATTTCGTTCCACCACACGTGTTGCGAATGACAATAAAACTTCCTTGAATCCTTTATTTTRGGAGATCAGCAATCAGACGATATTTATGAGAAGCTGATCTTATCTAGATCTGCAAAGGACTGAAAATCCGCCCCAGTCTGCTTTTTTCACCGCTGTGAGACGGGGCGTCCAGTTCAAACAAGTTTGTATTGCTTCAAGGGTATTGTTCAGTGTTTTTCAATTAAATAAGATCGGAACACTGAAGGTGTGTTGTGATCTTATAACACCTGACAGTGAGAACAGGCTATACTGCAGTCGGTGCACCCCTGATTTTTAGCATTGATGCTAAAAAATAGTTCCAATGAAGTAAACTGATATTGTTTTAGGCTTAATATACATGTAATTTTTTTTAAAAAAGTGGTACACATTGACTTTGTAATGGCAATCATGTCAACCAACATGTCTAAACACGTTTTATGTGTTTAGAAAAAAATCTACAACACTGATTTTGAGTTTAAATTGGAAAAAAACAGTTTTTTTTTTGTCTTGGTGGATGTTATTCTCTAGGTTGAATAAAAAGAAATTGTAGCATGTAATGTAGGAAGGAATATATTTTTTTAGCTCTTTGAGTCCTAAAAATAACATGATTGTTTCATTTTATTTTGCTATTTGCGTGTGGCCCTGCAAACAGGGAAGCCTGTTTTTACACTGACTTAACCCACAAATTATTGAGGAACGCATTTATAACAGTTTTATATTTTATCATGTAAAATAAATGATAATAATAATAAATAACAATGTGCTGACGTTTAGAATAATACAASAAATGGAAGAAAAAAGGGGAGACTGTGTATGATGGAGATTTTTTTCCCTTCCCAGTCTCTCGGGTTGGAACATTTAAACATGTAAAAATTGTAAAAACGTGTCGAAATACGAGCCATATATCTGAAGTCACGATTTAACAGCGAATGGGTGTGAAAATACACTAAATTTAGGCGTTTAGCAGCGCAGCGTTTGGAAACACCCATCAAACCATTTTCCATTTTCCTCAGCCTCTGAACGGTTTTCAGCTTTTCTTCCTTCATTCAGAGCTTTATCTACAAACCTGTAAACCTACATGTTTAAGAAAAACAGCAAATGAACACACCTAACGTTAGCTCGCCGTCACGTAAAGAAGCCAGCTCAGTCCGTTTAGTGTGGTCAAAGCTAAATCTCTCTTTTTTTTTATGTCGCTAACACAATAGCCAGTAGTAAAGAAGGGAGGGGAAAAAGGGAAAACCTCTTGAAGCGAAAACTACCTTTCGTCGTTGTCTGGCGAAGCTCTGACCCGTGCCAGGGCTTAGTCCGTCTTCGAACGGGCAGAAGTGAACATGTTAGGCTGATTTTGTCGATGAACGGTTATCGTATTTTCCCCATCTTTCTGCCAGCAGCAATAGCAGCGCGGCTCAGGAGAGCCAGGGCGCCTCGGTGACGTCAGGGGCCCCCATGTGCGCGTTCACGGGAACCTTCCTCGCCACGCTTGAGTTTTGTGGGCGCGGTCACGAGCCCTCCCATCCATATGGCTGTAATATCTGTGTGGAAGGCAAATAAACATTAAAACACACACACACACACACACACACACACACACACACACACACACACA